AACTGTCCAAGGTCCTGAAACGTTCCAGCACTTTCAGGACCTTGGACAGTTCCTTCAGCCCTTCACACCCGACGTCGCTCGCTCTCCATTCATTTCCTATGGAGCCTGTGCGGTGAGGCGACAATCGCTTGCCCTCCTCCAGCTAAGCGACCAGCGAAAATAGTGCATGTGAAATTTCACGCTCGTACACGTAGACGTGCACACGCGAGCTTGCGACGCGACATTACTTTGTATGCTGCTGTTTTCTGCACCTGCCATTACCTAGTTTATTTATTTTTTTACTTATTCGCTTTCAAAGCTATATTTTTATCTTTGTGTTTAATTTGAGTTAAATAAAAAATAAAATGCCTGAGAGTTAAATGTTCTAGGGGGGTAAATAAATAATTTTAATTTAATGATCGGTTGTAGTACATTATAGTTTTGGAGAACCATCATTATGTTTGACTGCAGGGGTACAAGTGGTATGACAAAATGGCTCAGAGGGTACACAAGTCTGAAAATGTTGGGAACCACTGCTCTTTATTTGTTCCTTATTTTGTAGAAAATGTAGTGAGAACTTCATGTTAAAATCGGCATCTATATTATGGTTTCCTCTCAATTAGCTTCGATGCTCTCCTCTTGTCTCTGTTAACAAGAACAAGAACAACAACAAAAATGTTGAATTATGGTGATATATCAGAGCATAAACACATGATCATGTAAGTGTTTCCCCGGCTTTACACCAGGCATGACGCTTCCCTGCCTTTTGACTGACACCCCGGCTTGGAGGTGCCAGGCTAAAAATAAAAATAAATAAATAAATGAATAAAAAACAAAGTCAAGTTTCTCATAAAGAAGAAGCATGAGTCCTATAACTGCTTTCAAAATAAAAGCACAACAATAATTATTTTGAAGGGAACAAATAGAACCATGACCTTGTAGAGTAAAAGACAAAATCTGTTTTGCATCCTTTGAGTCCACATATATGAAATGACTTATGATATATGATCACCAATGTTGATGACATAAGTAAAGGTCTGAGAGGAAAGTGGTCTTGATGCTCCTCTTTCAGCTAAGAGCTGAAACACTTTTTATTATTATTATTATTAGTATTATTATTATTACAATTTTTATCTGTTACTCTTCTCATTGTTTTAAACCAAAACATTTAAAAAGTATCTAAAATATCAAAGGTTGTGATTGGATCAAGTTTACATTGCTATGGTTTGATGAAATTTGCACAAATATGATCAAAGTTAACACAACAATGGAATTTTACCGAAATGAATTATACAAATCTTGGCCAAAAACACAACTGAGATGGATGAAGCAGGAGATTGAACCGGCAACTCACCGATTCTCTAGATAGATAGATAGATAGATAGATAGATAGATAGATAGATAGATAGATAGATAGATAGATAGATAGATAGATAGATAGATAGATAGAT